AGGTTAATTTTGTAATGAGGAGCCAGTGACATCAAAATAAGTAAAGGGAAAAAATTCATTTTAACAGGCCAAACGGTAAGGGATATTGTGGATCCCAGACAGCTAAATGTCAGTAAATCTGAAGTAATTATTTTTGGGCCAAATCAGAATCAGAAGAGCTTTATTACCAAGTATGTGTAACACACACTGAGTAGCGCTTGGTTAACAATTACTAAGTTACTATGTGACCACAACTTTGGTACAGCGGTAACTACATTGGATTGCCTGGACCAGAAATCAGAAGACAAGTGTCGACTCACTAGAGCAAAAGGTAAGCAAAAAGTGTAAGAGTATTTGGATTATTAAACTGTATTTTCATTGAATTCGTGCTACTGAGTCTTCTCTCTTTCAAATTCGCTCTCGTTCTGTCTGCTCGTGCGGTAACTAAACTGAGAGGATTGCCCAGTTGTGGGTAATTAAGTCTTTTTGGAGGTTCACATTGTCTTCTCGAACGTCTGAGACTTTCCGTTTCAGTTGCTTCACTCTCGTTCTCTTGAGACTCTCTGGAAATGCTACTTTCTCTTTGGGTGGAATGGTTACTTCCTTCATCTTTCCTACTTGAATTTTCAGATGATTCACTATCAGTATCTGGTTTCTCTTGATCTGTCATCTGAACAATTTTCTTTTCAGATTCATCAACTGAGCTTTCATCAAGAACTTCAACTTCAGGCAGTTCTGATAGGCTGCTCTCTACCGGTTGCTCTAAAGTAGGATGATCTGCCTCCTGTGCATTAAAGGATTCCTCAGGTAAGTCATGTAAGTTTCCTTTATCAACAGGTTCTGTCGAGATAGGACATCCTTCATCCTTTTCCATCACAGGTTCAGCAACAGGTAAGTGGACTGCTCTTCTACTTTTGTTAGAAGAGATAGGTTCCGAGTTAGACAGAATTCTGGTTTCAATCTCGCAGAACTTTCCAGGGTCATAATAATCCACTGGATCGTTGTCTGACTCTGAATATTCACTCAAACTTT